GTTTGGTTTGGTGTGGCATGGTATGGTATGGTATGGTGTGGTATGGTATGGTATGGTAAGTCAGGGTTTAGCCTATGGTGTGGTCTTCAAATTCAGGTATATGCATGCAGATTTTCACATGGTGTCCCAAACTTTAATTATGTCTGAAACAACTTCCTACATTGAGGAGTCGACGAGGGACAGGACGGCCCCCAGAAACCATCTTAGCTCCAGCAAACTTGTTGGTCCACTCAATGAGTTTACTGCTTGGTGGGGAAATAGTTTACTGGAACTCCTCTGACTGATGAAGCCTTCCGGATAGAGGGTGAAACGTCTCTATAAAAAAGAAACTGTCCAGATGACCTGACTGCGAATTATTGAATTCTTTCCAAATAGTCTCAGTGTTGTTGTGGGTGGCTCAAATGAGCATCAAGGGTGCTGGAGTTGTATATTAGACACCTGCACTAAGCTCTTCTCCAACACTTACAGTCCAGTGAGAAACTGGTAAAATCAATTGCAAAGCACGAAAGGAAAGGAGGCAATCCCCTAACTCCCACATTACAGTATTTGTTTAAATGGTCTATGGTGTTGCAACCCAAGATTATCAGTGACCCTCATCTGGTCACACCTTTGAAAACTTTATGAAGCTACTAAATGCAGCACAGTTGTCAACATAACCAAACAAACAAACAAATAAAATCTGAGAGCTACTGTATCATTTGGCTATGGTCTCTTTATCAGAGTCTAAAATAAAACATAACATATTTACTTTTACTTTTCATAAGTTTAAAAGTAACATGTTTAACACTACAATATTTTCAAATTTTATATTAGCTTTTCAAAAACCTTCGATCTAAACTTAATCTTTTCAGGATTCCTGGATTTAGTTAAAATTAAGTCGCTTGAAGCTGCATTTAGGCTTGTTTAGGAGTTGCACCTTTAACAACCTTCATGTAAACTTAGCTCTGTTAGCACAGAGTGAAGTGGCCCCTGCTGCGTGGTTCCACAGTTTGGAGACAACAGGTGAAGGTCCCTGGGGTGGATCAGATTAGACACAGAGATGTTCGGAGTCAGACATGCAAGTATGTGGTCACGTGGAGATACAAGGAGGGTGATGTAGTGGTTTGGGGGAAAGTTAACAAAATAATGAGACATTGTTGTGCAGATGAAGAGGAATTAATTATCCATGAATGAGACGCACGATAGGCAGGGATTTTTTATTTAAAAATAATTATTTTAAATTATTAAGCAGCTGCTGCACATTTGTGCAGCCCACATTGCAGGATAAACTTCCTGCTGCAGCTGATCAGCTGTTCACCGTGCCACAGCGGACAAGTGGGCGTGGCCAAGAGCCATTGCTGGTGGCAAAGAGCAGAGGAGGCAGGGAGCTGAAATCATGACATTCTGTGCTCTTTTAGAACATTTAGAGTTTAGAAA